CATAGTCCAAAGTGTTTTCCCCTCGCAAAAAAAGGTTTACCAGTGCTTGACTTTGATGGAATAACGCTTCTTGTCTGTATCATCGTGTATTCAGATGACAGTCAATGAATAATTGGACCAAGGAACGGTCGAAAATTGTCTGTCCGATGCAAACTTTTGTTGTCTTAGAAAAGTTGCAAAGTTCTAGGAGGTCCAAAGACTGAATACTGTAGGTGGGCTAACTCAAGAAATTTCAACCGAAATTCCGAAATGCGTTTTCGTTTCGGGTTTCGAATTAACGTCCTTCCGGCTACATGCAAAAACTACACTCTGTAAAAGAATGCCTACTTCAGTAGCATGCATTTTTCACATTGATTTTCGATGCCCCTAAATGTCCAATCATATTTCATAGATAACGAGTAAAAAAATATTCATTCTTTTGCTCATTCGGTAGATAATTACGTCTTCTTCCAATCTAATACTCGAAGGAGGGTTATAATTCGGTTTTAAAAAGTTTTTTATTGTGGGGACTTTTAAATACCGTGAAATGGCCGTTCGTAAATCGTCATGTCACTGCATTTACTAATGTGGCTTGTGAAGTTAACAATATGGAGCATATCCACTGCTTAATTTTATTAACCCTATATGGTCCGCCTATATTACCGTAGAGAAATATGTCGTTTTCCGTACGCGGAAAATATACGGGTTGTAGTTTGGAAACCCTGAATCTAGGTGTATCGGTAGAACGGCTTCAAAATTATTCGGGAATTGGAAAAGTTTTGCTGGCCGAATCATACCCTTCCGTCGAATATGAGATTGGAAGAAGACGTAATTATCTACCGAATGAGCAAAATAGTGAATATTTCATACTTGTTATCCATGAAATATAATTGGACATTTAGGGGCATCGAAAATCAATGAGAACAATTCATGTTACGCAAGTAGTCATTTTTTTTACAGAGTGTAGTTTTGGCATGCAGCCGGAAGGGCGTTGATTCGAAACCCGGCATCCTGAAGTAACTGAAATATTATAGAATTATGTTGCAGGCTGACCAGTTTTACAACCCTACTTAATTAATCTTTTCGAAACGAAAACGCATTTCGGAATTTCGGTTGACATTTCATGAGTTAGCCCACCTACTGTATTTATTGTTCAATGGGAAGAGAACAGCTGGCGATGATTGTCATGTATCGACGGAATGCGAGTCTATGCAGCCTCTTGTTTTTCCACTGGAGAGCGGTTTAAGCTAATAAATAATTGCAAAATTCGTCCAGAAAGGGCATAAACAGCAAACATGCCTACCTGTAACAAAAGCTGGAAATTAGAAAAAAGAAGGGCTGAACACACGAATAAGAACCCCCTCACCGTTCTAATGGTGGCTTCGCAGTCAATTCCAGGATCGGGTAGCTGCCCCGAACTGTTCCTTATCCCAGCGGAGGACAATTATAACTCAATTGAGGGTACACGATCAATTTGATAAGTAGGATTCCTGTGCAGAGGTGCATTTGGGCTAACATTTAATATGCAAACCTCTGAAGATTCCGTAGCGCGACCGGTGAGAGCTCTCTACGCCAGTTAATACACCATACTCTAATCTATATTCGAGAAACACCGCTGTATCACAGCACCAAAGTTGCGCGGTAGGTTTGTTTTAATTCCCTTTACTCATTTACTGTTCTTTGCAAGTTGACTCAATGCCAAAATGTGTGCGAAGATATGCCTGTACGACTGTGAATATGTGGACCTTTCGAGACGCCCTACCCGGCTGCAAGCTGTCGTGGGAAGTACTGCTATACCACTCGAACCCTCGGCCCACGCCCTATTCTGCCCTGCAATGACGTCATAGCGAAACTTCCACGCTCACATGATTTTGGGTACTTCAAATCGCAGTCTGCATAGCGATACCGTGCTTGAACTTGTCACAAATTTCGTTCATTTATCAGGTGGCTCAGGGTTAAAATGTCTGCTCATCTGTATACCGGTTTGATGAAGGTAACGAGGACAGAACTGACCAGCCGAGTATCCCCAGTCTTTGTGGTGAATATGGGAAGGAGGCGAGTCTACGCCGTCTTCATACCTCTCTACTTTAAGTAACCTGCCCTGGAAAACGCCTCAAACGTTCCTTCCAGACGCTGATCCTTCTGATGCTCCTGACTGAATCGTTATATATCCCGGTAAAGGATTTTGCTAACACACATTTAAGCTAAAAATTCACTTTTAAACCCCGTTTTAGGACCAAAATGCTTGCGGATTTCCGCACTATAGGTGGCCTTGTGCTGAATACCATGAAAGGGTACCTATCCGCGTGTCCTAACTTTAACTCAACTTTGGCCAAATCCCCTGGAACATAGTGCAATACCACCTGCCCTACCCCGCACTCTGCCAGTCCTATGGCTCGGTTCGCGTTCGCCATTATTATAACTATACTTAGAGTCCTGAGAGTTCCTAGGACAGTGTCTGAAAAACTTTAACAAATTTTTAACTATCACCTTAGGAATAAGTCTACTCGATCGATACTTATAGGTTGCTCTGCAGAATGCAACACCATACATCAACCTGGTTGGTGAGCGCCTCCACCCGTCGCTTATTGGTTCTGGCGTTGGACACCTCATTAACAGGTTGCGGGATCGATTCCCAGGGGTCGCACACCTTGGGGTTGGGTATGGCTGGTTGGAATCAGCTAACAAGCCAGAAATGGCCATTTCGGCATCCCTTGTCTTCGTTGGTAAACATATTCTGCTCGCATATATATATACCTCACTTCATAAGGCCTATGACTTACCGATGATCGGTAACAACCGTGAACCAGCTGTATGCGTCTGGCCTGTTGCACTCTTAGTGAGCTGCTTATGTAGTATATCCATATATGGTAGATGGTGGCCCCTTACAATTCGGACCTTGCCTGTCTTGGGAAACTAAGGGACCGATGCACCAAGCCCCGGTTAATAAATTTCCGATCTATAACGAAAGCAAATGTTAGGTTGCCAGTTACTGCTGAACTTCGCTTCGAAGAAATGCAGGTTACCCAAATGTTACACCCTGTTCGCAGACCATCTGTTGTGATTGGCTGAACGGAGGTACAAGACCAACGAGTCGGTATCCTCCCCACGCGCGGCATTATTTCCGGTTACGGATTCAATACGCAGAGAGCCCACATTAATGTCATTTATTGCACCACTTACCTTTAAGTCTAAAATGACCACGCGGATCAACGACTTACGACTCTCGTTAACGAACACAAGTTAACTTCCAGCCGAAGTGACCCACTGAGTGTGACCACCGTTCCGGTAGTAACGGTACTGAATTGTTCCCCATGAACAGCACCAAACAAGTCAGAGAATTCCCCCATGGTTCTTACTCCAACACAAAAGTGTGACCGTTGCGCGCGATGATGTCCACCGTATGCTCCACAGCAGGGCGGGAGCAGGGACAATGACTTGTGCAACAATCTAGTTTATATTGTTAGTAAACTTGCACCGCATCTACCGCACTCCCTCCTCCGCCTCCACCTGGACCAGGTATCAAGACAGAGTCAAGAAGACCGAAGACGGGGGAGGGTGCAGGTGGATGGCGCGGTCAAGCCACACCTTGGCGATCCCCTCCACACCCTCTGGTTCACACAGCAAACAACCAGATATTTGATTAAAAGCAACAAAAACAATTGTGGGGTGTCAGGGCCCCAGTGTGCGTGACGTACGCCGGCAACCGGACCCGCAACCGCACAGCGAAATGTTGAGATTTGTTATGTTGCGCAAGTCCAATAACGCCTGCCAGGATCAATGTGACCACCCGTTGGTCCAGCGCATCTACTGCGTGGCCCGTTTGGAGGACACACTCGAAAACAAACACCATCAGTCACCACGTAGACCTGCACAGTCATTACAAAGGTCTGCCTGCATGGCTCACTGACGTTCACCCGCGTTAGAACAGCAGCCGCTAATCCATGTTCGAGCATGTAATCTCAAACATTCGCCATCCTGCCCCCATTCCGACAGAGAGCCACGACCGAGAGTCCCAGTGCCCTCCCCTTTCACCTCCGGTACCTATCGCATCACGGACGTCTACGTACCGATGTTGCCTCTGTGATTCCAAACGCTCAGTGCGAAGATCCCACCTCTCACTACTCATTTCATCTGACAACTGTTTGATTTTACCGACTTTAACGTTCATCAGTGCATCTTGATCTTTCCAAAGAGCCTTCTTTTTGCAACATATCATGTTTGTATACATACCACTTCAACCTACATATATATATGGATGTATAAGTTATACCTCCAGTTCGCAAATCAATATAAGAGTAAGAGATTTTTTGGAACACAGGTTTCGGCCAACCGCAGAATCACTTGTTCGACACGGTTAAATAATTAACTGTTTTGTACATCACTCATAGGTTTTACGACGAGCCGGGGAACCAGTTCCGACAATTTACGCGATGAAGGGTATTTTGTTACCAAAGAATCTCACTCATTTCAAATATATATACGTATAATTTTTCGTATTCACCAGCTTTATCAGTGGTCTCGAGGGGCTTAACGAAAAGCCCGCGTATGCTTTTCTTCTGGGTAGTAAACAGGCGTGCGCTAAAGGCTCATTGTTTTCGCAATATCACACACTTAACTTGCCCCTTGCTGGGCATCCAGAAACTGTCCTAAAGATCATGAAGATGGGAGTGTGCCTGAACTCTGTTCTTAGGAGACGCATAGGACTTTTGCCGAGAGGACAGGCAGGGAAAGAGGGCGCGAGAGAGAAAGGAATGAACCGTATCGTGGATGCACAGGTGTACCTCTTGTCGGGGCAGCGGCGTGTGCAGGAGATGAAGGGGCCATCCACGCATGGGTGGCTAGACAATGTCGTGTGATGACCTGCGCGGAGGACTGCCTTCTCCTTCAGAAAATGCAGTCCTTTAGCCGGCTGCTGCTGCTGCTGCAGTTGCTGGTACTGCCACTACGGAGGCGGAGGTTGAGTGAGCTGTCATTGGTCTGTCGTCCTGTGCTCAATCGCAGAACCTATAAGAGACCGCATGACGGCGCCGTTGAGCCATACCTTTGATTGCACGCGGCCTGCAGGACATCTAGCTGCCACTACGCCCTCGCACTACCGCCGGACCCTCCTCCAACTGCTGCATGAAATGCCTACCAACGATGTGGCGAAATCGAGAACCACGGAGGTGACTACTGCTCCGATGCCGGTTAATTCAATCAACCCTGCCCTCTTCCCATATGGTATTCCAGGTAAATGAATGTCTACTGCGAATAATTGTGATTTTAAAAAGGATATTCTGATTCACGATCTCTCAGCCATAGCCCCTCTAAGACTAGATCCGGTTTAGTGTCCATCCAACTTCTACAGTAGTCTTTTACGTTGAAGTACAAGTAATATCAGTTTCCTAGCAGACTTCAGTCTTGTACGTTTCGCTATACCTGTCCACAGTGAGGCTGTTTACCTTTGTAAATTCAACACAACAAAGGTGCTGACATTTTTAAACATAACCGGTTTTCATACAGCCTCTGATGCCTTGTCACAGCCATATTTAACAAGCGGTTCATGACCCCTGGCCTTTGGAGGAAGGATGTCGGTTACAGAACACTGACCACTGGTATAAACCAGCATCATAGCTAAAATTGGCCAGGGCCTTCCGCTGTCGCATTGAATATATAAAAGCTCACTGGCAATTGTTAAGGATTACCCCTAACCAAGGGGCTTTACCTCCAGGATTATAAAGACTATGTGTAAAGCAATAAGGAACGACCATTTTCCCATCTTCAGTGAGGGTAGGCTTCAACAGACAAATCAGATAATTTAATCAACAACAGCCTGATGTCTAAGTTCCTGACCAGCAAGAACTGCAAAGGCGACAAGGTATCCAGAAATGTGTAAACAAAACCCCTCCCCCGCCACCGCCCAGTGAATGTCTGCTTCCCAGTTTTGCAAACTCCTTTCCTTCGAGGTTTTTAAAGTCTGGTCTCCAGAAGGTATCATTCCTGAACCAATTTTGATGAACACGTCGTGCATATGGTGCAGTGATGCTGTATAGGTAGCGCTTGCCTGAGAGGGAGGCCTCTACGACAGCTATTCGTTTCCCAACCTGACACTTGCGGTTTCAGTAAAAATACCACAGGAGTGTGGAAGAGATAAAAACTTTCCTAAGTCACTTGTCTTGTACATCTCGTTGGACCCATGCTTCAGTTTGCGTATTTTAGTTATGGAATCAGAGCCCGAGTCAATTCGGGTGATTTCTGTGCAGATTAAACTGTCCCACATGGCTTCTGTCTTTTGACTTTTAATGAGGAATGTCTTCATGAGAGGTCTCCAGATGATGCCTTCTCCGAGAGCACTTTCAACTTAGCGGATCCCAAGTCCCTTCCATGGACGCACGTATTTGGTTGGTCACGTTGGTCAGCAAACGTCGTGCTGTATGATTAAGAGTTCATTTTTAGGAAATCTCACGGCGTTGTTTTATGAGTAGAGGATTTTTTCGTCCTGGCTATAGTCGGAAGGCAGATCTCAGCTTCACGTCTATAACGACAAGATTTTACTGCGAAAGCCAAGTACTTCTTCCCAAACCTACTCGCCAAGGTTGGGAAAGATGATACAGTACTATTACTACACTATATTAAAACACTGAACTACTTTCTTGCTGGGTGGGACAACAGTACACTTATATAAATTACGTTTGCACAGAGGCTAGGTAGGACCGGTTCTCTAAGAAGGCCAAAACGCCACTACCTCCTCAAGTGGGCGAGCCGTCGATTAATTAGTCAGGCAACATCAAATTTTGGCCCCCGTATTGACATTTATATCCTGGGTTTTGAGCTGATATTCAAATTTCATGGAACGTGAGATGTGAAGAGCTTTTCCGAGACTTCACGAAACCCGAAATTTTGCTATCCGCTGCGGACGATGACTTCTTTAAAAGTACAAAAAATTTCGACTCATGCTCATTTCAAACGGCCCGAGGAATTCGTTGTCTGAGAGGGAATGCCGACTCGCAGTACTTTTGTTACTGTGAATTCGAGTCATGTTATCTGAGGTCTGGGAATCTGGGGTAATCAGTCTTTCCTCTGCGATGGACTGGATGTTCGCTCTGCAGTCGATGGTCGAGAATCACTGAAGTTACATGCAAGCGTCCAGAGCAGAAATTACCTGATTTTAGAGGAAAACACAGACGTTCCGCAGCAACTAGGTGCAGGCATAAATCCCTCGCAGTCAGCTACTTCCAGACGAGCAAGAAGTAACCGGAAAGCTTGAGCACCTAAGTCAGGGATGGACAGCTGAATATCCGCTTCCGATCTCAAATTTATCTGGAAGCCTGTACAGGTCGAGGCGTTAACAGTTAGCCGTGAAGCCTCTACGGCTGGTCACACCTCTTCATTCCCATCAACCACTGCATTGCATTTCCTCAGGTTTCGATGCTGCCAGCATGTCCCAACTGCTGCTCGCCCAGATGTGCACCGGGATGACTGCTCCGCCGACGACACCACCCCTGCCACCATCCAGTCCAGATGACCAACAGCAGTTCATGCTGAAATTGTATAAGCTCCTGGCCAGTTCCTTCTACCTGTCTGCATTTGAAAAACTCCTGTCTGGCAGTGTGCCCCACCCCATGGGGCCCACCGCGCTTCCAACAGTCAATATGGCCGGGGAGCAGATGAAGGCGGAGGAAACAGCCTTGAAAGCAAACCCTCTGGCGTTTCTTTCACTATTCAACACGTCTTCTTCCTCTTCCTCCCCCTCCATCCCGCCCTCCGCCGCCGCCAACTCCTCCCCCCTCACTTCCGCCAACTCTCTTGTGTCCTCGTCTGCCTCCTGCTCACCTGATCTTCCAATGAATCTTAGCAAGTCCATGCACCTTTCGCAACAGCCACAGCCTGGCCAACCAGGTTTCTTGCAGCGAGACCTCATCAGCGAGCCACTGACGAAGACAGAGGCAGAGACAAACATCGCTCTTCCTCGCGTCAGCCAATGGCTTCATAGTATTTTCATGGGGCAGGGAAAAACCGTTTTTCCCGACAGTAATGAAGAAGGCTCACCGATCCTGACGCCCAGTTTTCCAGTTACTGTTCCTTTTGATGGTAATTTCGCACTTTTTTGCCTTATATTCATGCAGTCTTGTTATAGCAGTCAGAAATAGATGAGTGCTACTTTTCTACTTACTAGGGCAAGGAAATTTGTATATAAAACACTTGATGGGGTGCTTGTGTACATTAATCCTGTTCCCAATGTTGTGTATGAAAAACTGTACAGATAAGTACATCAAACTCTAGTTAATAACTGTAGTTACTAGACAGTAATAAGTAGGCATTATTTAGGTATAGACTATAAGGGGACGGAAACGAAACAATGGTAGAAGGGCGCTCACCGATCGTTGCTACGAAACTCACTCATCCCGTTGAGCCTTACGGGCTCTCTCTCTCTTGAGCTCAACCCGCGAATCAGTCAAGAGACATCCTTTAGAAAGACCTAGAACTATCATCAGGCTGCGTGAATTCGACATTTTCATAATCCGCATTGTAAAACGTTTCCCATTTAATTCCATTTCGGCAAGAAATAATCGAAGGTAGTTACGATGGAAGTAGTTTTAATGGCAGTATTGCCATCGTACAGAATAAACTTTGCGGAGGGCAGTCTGTTATCGGCAACAATGTTGCTTAGATGTACTTTGATGTAAACTGGTTATTCACTGAAAGTCTTGAAAGGGTCCTTTCGCATTCTCTGATAATCGCAGTGGAACAAAGCAGAATTATAAAAACTTGCAACCGAGAAAGAATCAAACAGAACAGGAAAGTTGAGAAATAGTGGTTTAGCGTTGTAATAATTTTACTGCGAAACAGGTTCAAGTACAAGTAAACAAAAATGGTGATTACGTGTGCCAAACAAGCCATGTTCTCTCACCCATCCCGAAAGAGGTGGTCATTTCCGCTCTGTCATGTAGGTGCAGAATGCGTAACAGTTATGTGACAACGAGGCATAAACCCGAGGTTTGAACGTGCGTGCAAAGAAATATCGCAAATAAATCTTCAGCGTCACTAACCAATGTTGTCAGGTCCTTCTAAGTTCCTATTTGTTGCCACCAGTAACTCAAATGCATCAGACAGACCGTTTATCTAAAGTTTGCATTGTTATTATATATGTATATATACATACATACATATATATGTGTGGTTGCTTCTAACAGGCTCCAGCACTGTCTGTTCGGATGAGGATGAAGTCCAAGCTGATGGACGTCCTTCACACTCAAGCTGGCCAATTAGACATCGCTCCTCCACTGCCTTCCGCACTCGTCGTTCACCCAAGCGGGTACATCGGCTGTGGCAATTCCTCTGGACCCTGCTGGAGGATCCCACCTACAATCCCAGCATCATTCGCTGGGTGGACAGGGAGGCCAAGATGTTCGAACTGACCAAGAGCTCAGTGGTAGCCAATCTCTGGGGAGCCCAAAAACAGAAGCCAGGCATGAGTTATGAGAATCTTGGCCGCTCGCTCAGGTGAGTGCTGTTCCCAGCCACAAACCATGCATCGGTGTGGACAGTGTTTATTAAGCCGAGAATAACAAATGGGTCGGGGGAGAAGACCAAACTTGCGGCCTCTATGGTGATCGGGCGGGATGTAGTCAGAAGATACAAGCCAAGACAGGCTTGAGGAGGGAGGACGAAACAGGGCAGGAAGAAGAGTTGGTGAGCGTCATTCAGACCATTGTGTCAGGTCAGAATTCTGCACGTCTTGGGGGCTTCCGATGACAGATAGACAGTCCAGCAATTACAGCTGCAACGGCAAAGTTAACAAAGAGCCCACTGTCGAAGTCGGATACGCCGCAGGGTCCCACCCTGCAATTCAAAACAGCTGCCGACTGCCTGAAGAGTAGCCTCCACTCAAGAGTGTTCACAAGGTTTTAAGCGTGCTTTGTAGAGTGGACTCGAGATTTAAAGTGGAGGAACTGAGACTGACGCTTCAAGACTATTCTGAGGTAATCGATTCAACCACACGCTAGGTCGTCATGATTTAGCACCCAGTAACACGAAGCCTAACGTTAGTTGCAACCAAACTGAAATTATTCACAAATTCGAGAAGGAGTCAAGTAAGCAAACAAAAATAGAACTAACAGTTGAATGAAAAGGTTTCATTAAAGGGTGACCAGTGAGGTTTCCTGATGAAATTGGCACTCGGAACGGGGCGAGTGAGACTTATAAACAAACTAGGGATAATCTTGTGGTCATGTCATTATAAATTTCTTCAGATCGATCCATTTGGGGGACCTGATTCTGTTATTGCACCTTGGAGCTTAATCAGGAGCCCTCAAAAACAGTCACATAGCATCCAGAAATTACACAGAAATGCCGACAAATCAAGGAAGATCGGAATGACAAGTTCCGGCTTATTAGTCTTCGCCAGCCAACCTTACACAAACCTGGACTATTTGGACGCTGAACGATAATGGTAGAGGGGCGCTCACCGATCGTTCTGACAGAACACACTCGTTCCGTTGTGCTTTACGGGCTCTCACTGGAGCCCAACCAGCAGCCGCACAGCGGCGCATGATATATGTAGGCAGAATGGTATTACAGACAAAGACAATGGAGACTGGAATGGCCACTTCTGGCTTACTAGCCGTCGTCAGCCAGCCATGCCCAAGCCCGAAGTGTGGAACACCCGGGGCGTTGTAGTTAGACGAATTGGACTTCCCACCAACAGGTCGCGGGATCGAGCCCCAGGTGTTCCACACTTTGGGGTTGGGTATGACTGGCGGATGACGTCTAATAAGTCAGAATCGGCTACCCCAGTCTCCCTTGTTTTTTTCGGTAATAACATTCTACTGAACGTTAAGTCTAATGTTCTACCAACCAACGAAGCTAATGGAGAATGGCGTTGAACATGGTTGACTGCCGATGACAATTCTAGTCATTTCAGCTACTGCCGGCACCCCTTCTGCAGAAGCAGATGTCTCCGAGCAATCAAAAGATACGCAAAAAATGTTTGAGGGTTTAGGACAGCAGTCCCCCCTGTGCTTAATCTATGGCAGTCCTTCCACAAGTTCCTGATGGGGGAAGTACGCCTGATTGGGCATAGCATCCACTGCAATTCGAAAAGAAGGCTTGCTCCGGCGACATTTTTTCCCATTGCTGAAATTTTCTATGAAAAAGGCGCCTGTCTCACTAGCGCTCACGCTTTGGCCTTCAGGTACTACTACTCAAGAAAAATTTTGAAGAAGGTCAGTGGACAACGCCTGGTCTACCAGTTCCTTCCCACGGACGCACTCCTGGCGTGCGAGCAGTCACAACCAGCCTAGTATGGGGATCGCTTTCCATCCTACCGGTGTCGGAGCACTGTCACCGTACCCCCCGTCCCACACACATACACACACCTGAATTCTACCTCAATAACTCTCTTGCTGTAGCTGCACTCTTATGGACAAATCAAGCAGAAGCCTTCGGATTTTTTAAAATCAGAACTACTTTTAGCAATTCTGCCTTCATATTTATTTGTAACTTCCCTTGTTTTCTCTGTGTGCTTTCCCGTATTTTGGAAGTGGTCATTAAAGCTACATAAACACATTTCGATAATAAGGCAGTGTTTGCTGCAGAAAGTCATGTCGGCTCAGAGCGGAAAGGGAGGGCATGAATCCCATGTGCAAGTAAACCCTTCAAACACCCTCCTTGTCAGGGCTATCGTATACTAATCTTCCTCCACTTTATCAGTCCGAAAGGGAGACCTATAGGAAGCTTGTTGGGAGAGCGTGCCAAAAATCGCGCGAATCGTCCAGACGTGCGCGCATTAGAGACCTGAGCAAACATCCGTCTATTTCGACTCATTCGTAACCTACCTAATTTCACCCTTCCTAAGTCTACCCCATCCCGGTGGCAAGACGACGTCAAGAGCCCCGGAGACGAGGTTCGACGCAGTGGCTGACAGTACCGAACAACCCGTCTACGCGTTCCACACACGTTTCGGTGCTTAACGCGCACTAGGCCTCGACGGGGCGTCCCAGGATCGTACAAAAGTGACATTTCCGTAAAGGTCACATTGAGACGGGACGACTGAGGCCTGGCCCTCAGTCCTGGTAATCATCCAAGTGACAGCGACCGGCAGGCCGTAGAAGTTTCAGATGCGTGGCAGGTGACATAGAGGTGACTGCGACAAATTATCACACGTAGCGCTACTGCAACTTCACCTTCACTCTCTCTTCCCTTGTCAAACGATCATCCGAAATCTGCACGCTGACTGGGCAACGAAAGTGGCGCAGCGTCTAGGTCTAAATCGTGACAAGTACACCTAGAGCAGTAATTAGAACGCGCTCAAAGTCCGACTACCGCACACCAGGGTGTCACGTGGCCCTAAATTTTCTCCAAAAAAACAACGACAAAACTTTTCTGAGAGGCAGTAAGAGCAAAATGAGGACCGTCTGAGAGGGACTTTTGAAAAACTGGGAGGAATCATTATGCTACAGTTGTTGTACTTTGAATATTCTTATCGGTGCTGTCACTTTCAGGATCTAAGAGTTCATTATTATACGGTATTTGCGGTAGTTGCTTAACCGCATCTGCATCGAGGTGCATTCCCCGAGGAAAGATCGGAGTCACAACAACAGAAAAGGATGTTTTAATTGGAATGGGGCTTAAATCACTCACAAGGGATGGTCATTTCTGACATGCATTCCACCATGAGTCGTCCTTGTAAAAGCACTGCGAGAATCGAAGGTAAAACCAGGGAGCACTAGATCACTGAGGTGAACGGTCCAATCAACTGAACAAGGGGTTCAGCTCCTGTCTGCTAGGATCAGAGATATTGAAGGTCCCGCATCAATAGTATTCGTAGATAAGAAAGGAAAAGGCGATGCCACATTAATTTGTCTCCTCCCTATCTGGTTCTACAAACCTTCTTGACGGGGGACGGTCACGGCGCGGAACATTCGGGGTCGCCAAGTATCATCGCGGTCAACGAGCGGGGCGGGAGCAACACTGGTTAAGGTCGGATGCAGCCACACAAGCGGCATCGGCGAGTTACGCATCAGACAAAAGTGCATCATGTAATGAGACCTGCACGTCTGACTTTCTGGTCTCTGTAGACGGGTAGACGAAATGACTGCTCGAGACGTCGGACCTCCAATAAGCCTCTTCCGGTGAACGCCTCTTCTTCTTTTTGATAAGAAGACAGTTTATTTCGATTGCCGACGGTATGCTGTGACTCGAGTGATGGGTAGCATGACTCACTGACCTGGAGTTCGTGTATGCACTACTGCAGCGGATGGCAGATGAGTCATTAATGAACCCATGGTGAGTAAACCAACGACCACGTCGCTCCCCTGACTGTAGTTCAAAGGCGAAAGCAGGTCAGGTCAACGAACGCCACTACTTTGATGGTACACCGACTCATTTTTCTTCGAAATATATATATATCGTGGTTCTACTTAGTCGATAAAGCCAACATCGAGTCAGTACTGAAGGATTTACCATACTGGCAGCTTAGGTACTAGCCAGAAGCCGGAGCAGTACTTTGAAGTATGAGGTTTGACGACCTCTACTTTTTTGGAGGGGGGATGTTGGTTTCGGGAGACTGAACGTGGTTACAACAGGGCGGTTAAAACTGAGGTAATAGGGGTTTGATAATGCCGTCTGTCATTAGATTTTGAGGACTTTGTACCAAGTGCTATGTCAACAAAATTATCATTCACATGGCAAAGGACGTAGTCTTGAACTGGCTCACAAGCACACGCGCCTGAGCTGTACATTATTCGCAACATCACAACCCGCCATAATGACAACCCCCTGACATTTCTATCTCCACAAGCAACGACACACACTGTTGCCCCACGAGGTGGGTCCAGTAGCGATGACTTGCGTGTGAATCAGTTTATAGTGAGACGGACTTGCGCCGCATTCGCCTCACTCTCTCTTCCCACACCCACATTGCAGCGACGACAGGACGAGAACAAAGCGATAGGCGTGGATTCGGACATACTGGCCGTTTAAACTAAATAGACCGCCTACGCGCGCCACACACAACTCTTCCTTCTTCCAATATTCGCCAGCCTACGTTTAATGGTAGGTCTCAGATAGCACATAGGTGAGAAAGCCATAAAGGCCATGTTAAGGGGAAATAATTGTAACGTGACTCCTAGTACTGAATGCCACCGCGCTACTACGTTAGACAGAAACCCTCCAAACTGTCTCTGCCAGCGGGTCAAGATAGATTTAAGAGCGTCATATCCATTGTAGCGAGGAATTAGCGTTGCCTCTACGGCACTCCCACTCATTTGAGTTTCGAGCCGGTCTCACTTCTGTTTGTGTGGAAACCAGGTTCAGCTTGCGCAGACCAAGCGCGTGTGACACTCATCGACAGTCTGTTCAGCTTAGTCAGTCATTAAGTCCGACCACGCCTCCGGTCATGCTGACTCGATCTAGGAACCGGGCCCAGGTGAATGAGGGGGGAAAGAGTGAGGTGAATCCAAAGAAAGTCTTCTATCTCTGTAAATTACTTCACGTATCAGTGACTGTCCTTGCGAATGTTATACTGTGGGCAAACTATGGACATCGCCGCTCGCGACAGTCAAACTGCCATAGCGAGTAATACGCCGGGGAAAGATTTTGCCATTAAAGTAACCGCCCAGAGGGAATGCTAGCGTAAACGAGGGAAATATTTGCAGCATATCTGCAGTGCCTGATTATAGCCCTGAGTACCTGTAAGAAGGATGGTAATGAATTGGAAATTGGGGTGCAAGTGGAAGGCATATGCATAAGGATAACTCGGGCAATAAATGGGGAAATAAGTTCGCCCCCTCCCCCCGTAAACCACGCTATCAGTTATCCAAACACTTCCACTACAGCAACCCGATCTGCCTATTGGAAATAAGTAGCAAAAATGTCGTCGAAAATATAAAGGGGGGGGGGTGTTAAAACTGCGCTCATGCCTTGCGTTATAAACTGTTATTAAAACTTCAGATATATACGTTACATATCTCTTTAGGTCCCATTAGGAAGTTTACTGACACACATGAACTATTGCCACGCGTGATACGATGCACCACCCAACGTAAGCATTAGGCGAGGCATGATTTCGGGAAAATATCGCTTACAGACTTTGCACAACCAAGCCACGCCCGCCCTGCAAATACGACCATTTATGAAAACTTAGTGCTTAACAAAGTGGCCTACACAAATGGTGTGTCCAGCACTTTGTTTACATTAGACGGCATCTGTCGATCAAAGGCATTGCCTATTACTCTTAAAATATACTGACCTATACTGACCTACCGCGATTGTGGGCGTTTCTTTTTCCACTCACCAGCGTGATCCAAAGAGCCTGCGGGCGAAGCAAGACGGTCGCGGTGTATGTTTTCGAGAGAGACAGAGGAAACTAGAGTGAGAGTTTTCAACCCATGCGGAATCGTCAGACAGTCATGTCACAACCACAGACGCAGTCTTAAAGCAGAACTCAAGAACTGTGCAGAAAATTTGCTCTTGACCTTCTAACCCGTGTGTGTCGGCAAACTCCAGTCTGACCGACAGAGTAAGCACCTTCGCGTCAAGCAGGAGAGCTTGCGGTCCCGGGAACAGCTGAACAGCTGGACGATCAAAGCTGTGCCAGGACAACATCCACGATGACAGTATAAGTGAGTCTAGGTCTGTTCGTTCCCGGATGACCCGACTTGAAGTTAAACATCAACAAGGCCAACTCAGTGGTCTGGCATTCACGGGCGCCAGACACAGATTACAGACGACCCAACAGTTTAACTGACCATTGTGGACAAATCCGAAAGCCTGGAGAGTCTCAAAAAGTGTTAGGATCGACGACGAAGTGGTTAGCCTGATCTGTATAGTTAGCCGGACGTTTAGCCGGCCACAGGCCATAGTCTGCGATCGCCAAGGGCTATACACCAAGCTCAAGAAGTACAGGGCAGTATTTTCGACGACACTACTCTACCGGACGGAGGCATGAACCGTCTACGCCAAACAACCTAGGAAACTGAACCATTTCTACCTCATCTCTGAAGCTGAGGTGGCAGGACAAGATCCCGGACACAGAAGTCCTGGGTTAAATTGGAATCTTCAGCATCTGCACCATCCGGAGGCAACTGCAACGGCGCTGAGGTGATTATCGCACGAGGATGGATGACGAGAACCTACCCGAGAGACTATTCTCTTGTGAGGTCGTTACACGTGATTTCTGACTAGCGGGACAATAGCAATGCTACAAAGACACCCTGCGGCAAGAATTAAGTATATGCGCGGGGCACGGAAGTGCCAACTGCTGTTTAAAAAATTTGTCGGCGTTTTGACACTCCTGCTTTAC